CGTGCCATCCCTACATGAGCCTCTACCGACGCTCAGCAGTGCGCACATTGTGGAATCCGAGCACTGTTTTGATTTTATGGACTGGCACACCAACAAGCACAGACTCATTTTATAAGATGATACATTATCAAGTTAAACAACTTACATATGCATACAGTCTAACAATATTTTTAGTATCCCTGCAGTAAGAATTGAGCTCTCCCAAAAGAAGTTTGTTTTGCTTTCAGGTAGCAGTTCTTGAGAGACTGACATCGCTGAATGATGTTACTCAACAACCAAAGCAGCATAACAACATGAGGTAGAGTCAAACAGACAGTCAGGAATACCTCCAAAGTAAACGAGTTCAAGAAAAAATCCTGCATCCAGGCAGCAAGAGTAAGGGTTGTGAGAGCCATAACAATCAAATGAAATGCTAGGGACAGGTTCATTTCTTTGGTTTTAAATGGCTTAAAGTACAATATGGAAAATGGTAGAGCGAGAAATAATGGGAATAAAATGAGAAAAGTAGGTGTCAGGTAAAGTATGGAAACAGGTAACAAATATTGCCACAGTGCCTGTAAAAGATATCATTGTCAAGGGAAACAGTCTCCTCCAGTCTCTGCCACCATCCAGTCCATCTCTGTATCCACTGGAAATAGTGTCCACAAATATTGCCAGAGCAAGTCTCTTTCTCGGCCCACAACAACGTGCCAAGAGGTTCTGAAAGTGTCGACTCGGGTGCAGGAAGAGTACAAGCACTGGTATAACAACAAAAAAGAAGAGTGATACAAAAGCGACTGCGGCATAAGGAGCGTGATTTTTACTAAATTGCTCAATTGAAGGTTCGAAACTCAAGACGGATTTCACCAGGGTCCCATTAATGCTGTGCACCTGTTTGCCAGCAGTGAGCTGAACATAAATGGCACCAACTTTGGCAAATAGCAGAGCAGAAAATGTAGCAAAGGCATGTATTGCTGAATCACTCACATTCAAACGTTTTACGCCACCTGATGAACGAGTACAATATGCACTTACAAAATCTGCATGACGCAAGTTTATTTTTAAGATCAATCCTGCCAAAGAGGTAACTTAGAGCCAAAAGTATAAAAATGTATAGTACTGACAGGTATTCCATTAAAATTGTAGAGAGATTATTAAGATAACAGCTGTAACAGAGACCAGTGGCAAACATTGCCAAGAAATTTAGGTTCCAAAGTCCAGCCAGAGGAAGCAATAAATACACATTCCAGATGAACAAATATCTTCCCGAGTTTGTGAGAAAAAACCTCCATATGTTTGGGTGAATATGCAGCAGATTAATATGGATCTGACAAAAGATGATGTAGCCAAGCATTGGTCCTGACACGATATTTAAATGTAAAACCATTACAATGAGATAAAAAAGAGTCAGTGGTAGTATTTCTAGTGTAAGGAACAAAAACAAGGATGCGGGATTCTGAAGACAGTTTGAGCACTCGGTACACATTCCCCTGAAGATGTAAAGAGACGGGGCAAAGCCTTTTTTGCATTCACCACAAAATATTCCCTCCCTGTTGTTTTGCTCACATTCATCAAAAGATAAATTATAGGGACTCTGGGGTAGTGCAGAGAAGACTCGATCAGTGACTGAGGTACTGCGGCTTCTCTTATACTTACACACACTTGCAAGCACAGTCTGTGAGTGACTATCCCACGAAACACAGACATCAAATCTTGCATACACTGAGCTATTCTCCGCCTCACTGCACTTTATAGTGCCCCAAATTCCACTACCACATTGACACACGCCGGAAGAGTGGTTGAACCACTTCCAAGTAGGACACTGGGCGACATCTTCACTGGCACAACTGACTCTCGATCCCACACCTGCTAAGAGTAAAACAAGGCCTTGCAAAATAAGTTTCATGGCCGCTGTAGTCTGAATCCTGAGCTAGTTAGACTAGGCTTGCCCCTTGTTTTTGTAGTGCAGCTTCAAAAACAGTGAAAATGAAAACATAATGTTAACTTCCGCGAACCTTACTTTTGCATGCCCACACTTTTGACATTGAAAACATTTTCTGCCCACCATCAATGGTAGCAAGAACAACAGTAATGCATGCTTTTTGCTTTTCAGTGTGGTATTTGCAACGGTAAAATGAGTATAGCATAATAAATTATGCTATTGGGAAGGCAGACAAGAACATCATAAAAGAGCCATATCATGACTTATATACACTGACAGGTGGACAAATATTCAGTCAAATAACCATAATTATTGAAGAAACCTATCAGATGATTGTCCTGTAGCTATTCAAATTCAATCATGTTCATTGTAGGGATGGCGTAAATTATGAAAAAGGATACCAATGTGTTGCACTGTGGTGCCATGTTACCTGAGCCTTACAGGACAAACAACCACAATACTGTACAAAAACTGTTGACACCGTCAGGGCCGGTACGGCCACGACCACGGCCGTACCACTTTTTCGGACTGTGAGCTAATGCGCATGCGTGGCGAAATACGTAGGGCGGGGCTCTGGGGCCGTGTGCGCACGCATGGCATGCTGAGTAGCGATGACAGCAGAAGATGGTGGCTTCGTTGCAGGCGTTTAGTGCAGCTGTTTGTATATTGATTATGTCTAGGGTTGCTATTTCAAAGTGTGATGTTCAAGATTTGCCTGACAAACCTTTCCAACCATGCCATTATCGGTTTCCTTCGCGCTCGTTCGGAAAAGCGGCGCCTGTGAAGCGAACCTTCCAATCTTCGTGATTTCATCGCTTCAAGTGGATTCACTACGGCGCTAGTTTAATGATTTTCTTGCACGGAAGGCCGTACCACTCAAAAGTTTGTTGCTACGGCCCTGCGACCCTGATTGTTGTCATGCACCGTTCACCACAGCCCTGTCACTCTGTCTCCCTTGCCATCTATACAAGTAATCGCTGTAACCTATGATCCGAGCTTCCATACTGACTTGAGCACCCCTAATGAACTGCTGCTGCCAACGAAAGCCCCTTTACACCAACAACAAAGATTCTTCAAAACAAAAATCATACGCCCATCCCTACATATTTCTGTCAAAAAATGTATAGGCACTCGTTATTGTATACTAATTCATAACAAATCACAGCGGGTGTGTGAGTAAAGAAAGATGTAGGGATGGATGAATGATTTTTGTTTTTCAGCTGAAGCATCTTTCTTGTTAGTATCCTTTTTCATAATTTACGCCATCCCCCTTCATTAACCCTCGGCGCGCATGCGCAGCGAGGGTTACAGTTAGGGCTGAGGAAATTATGCTCAAATATTTTAATTTTATTCTACTCCTGGATTCTTCGATTATGTGCAATTTATGCTCTTGTTTTTACCAAATTATGCTTGAAATTTTGAACACAGTATATCAGTTAATGTCCTTTAACTGCAGCATAAGTGACGTATGTATATACGTCGTCAATTAGTCACGCTTAGGAATGTCAATTAGTCACCAAAAGGAAGTGTAACTTCTGTCATTCGTAGGAAGTCTGGCTTCGCGCGCAGTCAGTAGAGCGCGCGCAAGATCGAGCGGCCTCAATCGGACATTGGCGCGACTATATAGCGAGGCAAAATATGCCCGTGCGCATTCCTAGTATAGAATTATTCCTGCAATATTCTCGGATTCGAGCAGCCCCAAAAAATTCCCAAATTATGCCCGGCATAATTTCCGCACCCCTAGTTACAGTAGTTGGGGTGTATGTCCGTGTGTGTGTCTGTTACTCTATACATCTCACCTCCCGAATGTCTGTTCGTCCCAGAAACGATACCATCTACCCAACGGGCGACGAAGGTCAGAATATATGTGAGGTTTTCTCTGAAAATGCTTCGTTGCAGAGCTAGAGCGCTTCTAGCATTGTATGGCTAATGCCGGTAGTCGCCATCGCTAGCGGATAATGCGCATGCGCTTATATTTAGCACATGCTTACCTCGACCGGGTCCGCTTGCTCTGTCTATCTTGAAGGCACAATAAGTCACGAATGGCGTGTATCGACTCTCGCGTGCTATCTACTACTGTAGCTAGCCAGTGTCAGACTCTCTGCGAGCTACTTCGCCGAGGGTTTGCCCTTTAGTGCTTTTCATTTTGAATTTTCACTTCTTCTGCATTAGGGTTCACGCACGCATTGGGTGGAGATTTATGCACTGCAGAAGATTTGCAGAGATCATGATCACACACACGCACACATTCCATTATATAGTTTGCAATTTTGACACAGTTCTGCGCGATTCTTGCGCGAGAGACTAGCGGGCGCATGCGCAACTAACCCAACATTCATTAAGGTAGATGTTGGTATTTTGAGCCACCTAAACTTTCTTCTTAATTTTTCCTCCAAATACCGGTGAATTAAAGTGAAATTTATGTTACATAACTATCAAGACATGGCGATTCTAAAAATCGAATCGGTTTCAGAATATATTCATAGTAGGTAATGCAAAACATTTGTTTTATAACCCTCTAAAAGCAGCAATTATGAGTCAGTGATGGTATTATGAGTCGACTTAAAACGTATTCTTTGATGAAGCAAACAGTTGCCCAGTCGTGTTTCACAATAATTACTTAGATATACAAAAAAGCAAAAAACCACAAATTAATCATAATTTGACCAAAACATTCATTTAAAACCTCCCCCAAATTAAACCCTTTGAGTCAGTGATGCAATCATTGTGACCTCTTGACTTTTGGCTATTTTGTCGCAAGAGTAACCCGCAGCACGTGTTAAAATGTGGCGACGATTTGCTGGGCTAACGCCCTTACGGTAGAAGCAGTTACACAGTGTTTGGCAGCTTTTTGGAATATTTACCCATAATACCCCCTGACTCATAATACCAACACTTACCTTATACAATAATAATACTTTGTTTTTTTCTTTAGGAGAGGTCTATATAATATGAAGCTGAAGTCAAAGGTGGAGGCCGACTCAGTGGTATATAGTTAGTAGCAAGCGGGCAGTAGAGTAGAAGCCAGAAGTTTGCAGGGTTCAGGGTGCAGCTTGACGCGCAGTTGCAGTCCAACCCCTTTCAACATAGTATGCACCATCAAGTGAAGCACAAAGCATAATACAGAAGAGTAGACAGATAATGAGAGGAGTAGGCTTACAATAGGAGTTGGTAGTGCAACAAAGGCTAGGTCAGCAGTGGGATAAGGGTGCAGGGATGTACAAGTCAGCAGTGGCAATAGGGACAGGAAAACACTTCAGAGCCCCACCTGACAAGCAACTCCCAGATAATCTTACTAGTGGAAATGTTGAACATTGTTGGCGAGCGAGAGCGACCCTTTGCCCGGGCTGCATAACCTTCCGTCAGCGCACAGCTTTCCTTTCGTGAAGCAAGACAGATCTACCTATCGTCGTTACATGCGTACTGTACATTGGCAGAACGGTGACTCAGGTGAGCAGAACGGTACTTACCTTACGCTTTCAGCTCGTCAGTCGTGGTCCACCAGGCAACTGGATGCAGCAGTATGTGCAGGAGCAATCCTAGCGTATTATACTATTTGCAAGTTGCACCTTGGAACCATGAAGATTGGGAAGAGGTACAGCCTCGGTCAGTCACCCAAGGTTACAGCGCATGCTGTCGATGGAGAAGAGAGTTCTCTCGCTAGCTAGATCGATCGGCGCATTTCGCGAGGCTCCGTTTGGTGTAAAAATTTGGAAATATTTTCGGATAAAAAGAAGCGCGTACAAAGCCGCGCATGCGCACTTACACGACGTACGAACGATATTATACCGAAAATTCCGCTCGAAAGAACGGCTCGCTCCCGCTCGCCAATAATGGCTGGGTAGCTATCCTTCCCAGAGCAAGTCACTCTGTCTGCATTACCTCTATAGTCAGCCATATCAGCAATATTTTTCTTCAACTGGGCTAACAGCTGCCTTTTTCTTACCAGGGTCAGCATGATAGGAGGCCCCTAGCCGCTGCCTTTATTTACCTTTCTTTTCAAACTATAAGGCAACTTATCTCAAAGAATGGAGAAGCCCTGGTGGCAGTGACAACAGCAGAGCAGTGTTGAGGGCTTTGCGATTGAAGGAACAGGGTGGGGTTCTTGTTATCAGCCACGACTGAGTGCTGGCTAGAGGCCGAGGGGATGCAAAAGGTTGAACCTGGAGGAGAGTCGTCAGGCACACCTATTAAAAATAGGCAATGAGGGAATGCAGACAACCTGCAGGGGTTAGCTACCTTGAAACAAAATTCACTGTGGCCTCAAATCCATAAACTCATGCAAGCTGTACAGACCTTGGAGTAAATTATACGTTCGTAATCGCAATAGCAAGACTTGCTTTTGACCGTGGCGACTCCAGCACAATAGTAGCAGCAGTGCGGACAAGACAGACCCGGAGGAGAGATGTCGCCTCGTGCACGCAGGACCGTCGTGGAAAAGTTCGTCGCTTGGAACCCCGAAAGCAATGAGCTGGATTGCAGCTACGTAGTCAAAGTACACACAATAGTATACAGCTCCTTACCACAAGACGGATAGCTAGGCCCAAATTCGGCCTCACGGAGCGCGTCGAGGACCACGCGGTCTGCTCTAACGCGCCGCAGCGATCAACAAGTGGGGTTTGGGGTTTCGAGAAACACGTGAAAACAGCGTCGTTTTCTGTCTGCTATAGTGCCCGCCAGGAATCTGTCTTGGCGATAGGCGGCAAGAAAGCTTTACGACGATGCACACCTCCAGCATCGCGGGGCTCGTTTAGTGAGAAATATAGCGCATCAACTTGTTCCAGTAAGGAGAAATCGGGTCTAAAGAAGAAAAAGACGATGAAGAAAATATATGATATGGACCCGTGAGAATACCTGTCAACCGTCCCGAATCTGGCGGGACAGTACCGATTTTGCTGCTATGTCCCGCTGTCCCGCCAAGCACGTCATTTGTCCTGAATTCCCTTTGACGTCGCCTGTCTTTCCGCTAGAGGGGTCACGCTCGGAAAAAAAGGCGTGGCTAGTTCCGCGCGGTCCGCGTCAGTGGCTCGTTCCTGCGCGTGCTTGAAATGCGCATAGACAACACAGAACTAATAAATACGTATCTCATTGTCACCACTCTACAGTCACTAGCAAAATTTGTGTGTCCCAACTTTTTACATAAAATCCCGAATTTTTTGAAGCATAGCTAGTCCTTTCCTTTTTTTACTATAATTATAGGAGGTTGACAGGTAGCTATGCGTGACTGATTTCTGGTATATTTTGAAGGCATAGCTAGCCATTCTGGCCGAGTTTGGACGCATTACGCGGATTACGTGAATTTCACTCGTGCCATCCCTACATAGAGCGTCTACCGACGCTCAGCAGTGCGCACATCGTGGAATCCGAGCAATGATCAGCACTGTTTTGATTTTTATGGACTGCCACACCAACAAGCACAGACGCATTTTATAAGATGATGCATTATCAAGTTAAACAAAAACTTTATAATAACTTACATATACATACAGTCCAACAATATTTTTAGTATCCCTGCAGTAGCTCTCCCAAAAGAAAATTGTTTTGCTTTCAGGTAGCAGTTCTTGAGAGACTGATATCGCTGAATGATGTTACTCAACAACCAAAAGCAGCATAACAACATGAGGTAGAGTCAAACAGACAGTCAGGAATACTTCAAGAATGAGAGAATTCAAGAAAACATCCTGCATCCAGGCAGCAAGAGCAAGGGTTGTGAGAGCCATAACAATCAAATGAAATGCTAGGGACAGGTTCGTTTCTTTGGTTTTAAATGGCTTAAAGTACAATATGGAAAAGGTATAGCAAGAAATAAAATGAGAAAATAGGTGTCAGGTAAAGTATGGAAACAGCTAACAAATATTGCCTAAAGATAAAAGATATCATTGTCAAGGGAAAGAGTCTCCTCCAGTCTCTGCCACCATCCAGTCCATCTCCATATCCACTGGAAATATTGTCCACAAATATTGCCAGAGCAAGTCTCTTTCTCGGCCCACAACAATGCCTTAACAGATTCTTAAAATGTGGACTTGGGTGCAGGAAGAGTACAAGCACTGATATAACAACAAAAAAGAAAGAGTGATACAAAAGCGACTGCAGCATAAGGAGCGTGATTTTTACTAAATTGCTCAATTGAAGGTTCGAAACTCAAGACGGATTTCACTAGGGTCCCATTAATGCTGTGCACCTGTTTGCCAGCAGTGAGCTGAACAGAAATGGCACAAGCTTTGGTAACTATCAAGGCATAAAATGTAGCAAAAGCATGTATTGCTGAATCACTCACATTCCAGTTTTGACGCCACCTGATGAACGAGTACAATATGCACTTGCAAAATCTGCATGACGCAAGTTTATTTTTGAGATCAATCCTGCCAAAGAGGTAACTTAGAGCCAAAATGTATAGTACTGGCAGGTATTCCATTAAAATTGTAGAGAGATTATTAAGGTAACAGCTGTAACAGAGACCAGTGGCAAACATTGCCAAGAAATTCAGGTTCCAAAGTCCAGCCAGAGGAAGCAATAAATACACATTCCAGATGAACAAATATCTTCCCGAGTTGGTGAGAAAAAACCTCCATATGTTTGGCTTAATATGCAGCAGATTAATATGGACCTGACAAAAGATGATGTAGCCAAGCATTGGTCCTGACACGATATTTAAATGTAGAACCATTACAATGAGATAAAAAAGAGTCAGTGGTAGTATTTCTAGTGTAAGGAACAAAAACAAGGATGCGGGATTCTGAAGACAGTTTTAGCACTCGGTACACATTCCCCTGAAGATTTAAAGAGACGGGCCAAAGCCTTTTTTGCATTCACCACAAAATATTCCCTCCCTGTTGTTTTGCTCACATTCATCAAAAGATAAATTATAGGGACTCTGGGGTAGTTTAGAGAAGACTCGATCAGTGACTGAGGTACTGCGGCTTCTCTTATACCTACACACACTTGCAAGCACAGTCTGTGAGTGACTATCCCACGAAACACAGACATCAAATCTTGCATACACTGAACTATTCTCCTCCTCACTGCACTTTATAGTGCCCCAAATTCCACTACCACATTGACACACTCCGGAAGAGTATATATTTGAACCACTTCCAAGTAGGACACTGGGTGACATCTTCACTGGCACAACTGACTCTCGATCCCACAACTGCTAAGAGTAGAACCAGGCCTTGCAAAATATGTTTCATGGCCGCTGTAGTCTGAAACATGTAGCTAGTTAGACTAGGCTCGCCCCTTGTTTTTGTAGTGCAGCTTGAAAAACAGTGAAAATGAAAACATGTTAAATTCCGTGAACATCTGAAAAATTATCTGCCCACTACCAATGATAGCAAGAACTACAGTAGCTAATGTATGCTTTTTGTCCTTCAGTTGGTTTTTTGGTAAACAGCAAGTACACGTAGCTAAATGAGATTAAAATGAGTACAGCACAATATTATGTTAGGGAGGCCATGCAGCTCATAAAAGAGCCATATCAGGACTTACATACATTGACAGGTTGCCAGTTTAAACCAGATAAAAAAGCACAGTGTAAACACTGCGCATGAGCGGTACCGCTAAATTGATGGGTTGGGCCAAGAGTATGGGTGGTATCCACGCTAGTAGCTCGCGGGGAGTCTGGCTACAGTAGTAGATAGCATGCGAATGTCGATACACACCCTTTGTTGTGGCTTCTTGAGCCTCCAAATGTACACAGAGCGAGCGTATCAGGTATGCACTGATATTGGTTTTTTCGCTTGTTTTTTTGCGGCGAAGTAGAGAAGGCAGTGAGATGAACTGAAAGACAAATGAGTGATTCCATAGAAATTTAAAACAACTGTGAAGACCATGACCATAAGAAGAGAGTGAAACAGAAAAGTTTGTACAGGCACGAATAAAATAATCTAATGAAGTATCAAGACTAGTGTGGGCTGACAGAAAGTGTCCGCAGGGAGACTCGGAACCAATGTAGAAAGAACAGTTAGGAGCAGGGCATGTACCGTCTGAGTGGGCGTGGAGGGAGAGAAACCTTAGTGTAACTTCAATGCAGGTTGTGCCGAAGACACCCCTCTCCAGAGCCAAATCCCATAGCTTCAGCCAGCTCCCATCATTACTGGATGCAACAGCTTGGACATACTTCTGAGAGGGATGTGTAGAGGCATCTGCAAGTATAATTATAGTACATTTGGAGAATTTCTTTCTTAAGTGGTATGAAATTTCGTCAGTAGCTAACTGTAAGTACAGAAGTTGTGTAGTTGGACTATGTCTTGCAGATGGACTCAAGGAGACGACATTGACAAGTGATAGCTAACCAGTGCTCAACATCAGAGGTGGCGAGGGAGAGGGATCAGCTTTGAATAGAAACATAAGTATTCTGGCTCTCATATACAGCCACTGCAGAGCCATGAGGGCAGTGTTGTTAGGGGTGAAGGTTGGTAGCCGAAGGATGCGCTTGGCAAGAAGGACTCCAGCTTGTTCGATGATACTCTTGGAGGAAAGGGGGTTGAGATTACAGTGCAAGACCCCGCTGCCTCTTGCGTCTCGCCTTCTTGATATTTTCTTCAACCCATTTAGTGCACGATAGACTGGGAGACCACCATGCTCCCAAGCATTTAACACAAGAGGAAAGAGGAAACAGCAGGTCTCCTGTGCCGATGTGGGTGGAGTCGGTTTGAAGAGAAAGAAAATGGAAGCTTCACATTTATTAACCCTCGGTGCGCATGCGCAGCGAGGGTTACAGTAGTCTGTCTGTCTGTCCGTCTGTCTGTCTGTCCGTCTGTCCGCGCGAGTTATAGCACTACAGGTTACGAGGCGGCCAATGAGTGGCTCCAACGGGTTGTGAACGACGAGAAGATTGATATTAATGTGGCGATTTTCCCGAAACGACTGCGTTCCAGAGATATGGCGTGAAAACAAGCGAAGCCAACGCGCGGTCGATCGCGCACGCGCCCTCTCCTGCAGATACAATAGCGCGCACGCGTCATGTCAGTTAATCGACGGAGCATGCGCTACGCCACAACGTTCTACGGGCTTCTGTCAGTTTTTATCTCTGTTCTCTTTGTTTTCAATGGATAAACATGCTGTAGCATAATAGATAGTTCAGGTGGCGAGCAGTTTGTGGTTATAAAACGTCTGGCGAGAGCATTGAAACACAGAAGAGCGGATAGATTGAGTATGAGAGTCTCTACACCAGAGCAATTGCTCTAACCGCTAATGCAACTACCCCGTGTAACGGCGAGAGTCGCATTACTGGCTCTGTCGATGACGCACGGCCCAGCATACAGCGATGCTACAACTCGCGCGTTTAGCGCCGAGGGTTTGCACTTTAGTGCTTTTCATTGAAATTCAGGGCCAGGCCTTGAGAGGAGGCATACTTACTGACGAGCACCATCTGTAGCTTGCAGTCGGAACTGTTGGTGGAGAGTGTTCGAATATCGTCCGCATGGGAGAAGGCCCCAAGATAGAGACCACAGACAGAAGGATCACAGCTCCAGGAGAATTGGGTCCATAACCAGCAGGAAGTGTGTAGGTGAAAGGACGGAGCCCTGACAAACCCCGCGACTGACAGAAAAAGAGGGGAAAACCTGTCTGCCACTGTCAAGTACTGTAACCCTCGCTGCGCATGCGGATATGGTAAACAGGGATGGCACAGGGTAATACACGGTCACACATTCAGAAACAAGAGAAAGATTCTCACTTGATTACTCCCTACCAAAGCATCTTCCTCGCGTTTTTTGCGCAGCGAATAATTTCGAGGCTGGTGTTACGCCACATGCCCGGAGTTTACCGCCTTTAGCTCTAATTGATGGGCTGGGTTATTAGCATGTGGTCTCCCGCTGGTAGCTCGCGGAGAGTCTGACACGGCCAGCTACAGCAGTAGATGCGGGAGTCGATACACGACCTTCGCGTTGTGACTTCTTGTTCCTTTGTCAAATTAGCATATTGGCTTTTTCGCTGTGTTTCACGCCATAATCTCGAACGCAGCAGTTTCAGAGAAACCCCTACATATTGTTCGACCTATCTACCCTACGCTGAATACCTGGTATTGTTTGTGCGTGGCTCGTGAAGTGATATGATGGGTAACGGACAGACCAGACAGACAAACACACACGACAACTATAACTAGTGGAAATGTTTTGGCGAGGGGGAGCGACCCAACTTGGGATTTGCCCGCGATGTTCGGGCTGTATAACGTGCCGTCAGCGCACAGCTTTCCTTTCGTGAAGCAAGACAAATCTACCTGTCGCCGTTACATATTGCGTACTGTATATTTCCAGAACAGTGAGCAGGTGAGCAGAACGGTATATATATACTTACCTTACGCTTTCAGGTCGTCAGTCGTGGGTCCACCAGGCAGCTGGCATGCAGCAGTACTTGCACGAGCAATCCTAGCTTATTTCCAAGTTGCACCTTCGAACCATGAAGATTGGGAAGAGGTACAGCGTCGGCCAGTCGCCGAAGCTTGCAGCGCATGCCATCGAGGAGAGTTCTTTCGCCGGCTAGAGCATTTCGCGAGGCAGCGTGCGTGAAAATGTGTAAAATATTTGGAAATGATTTCGGGTAAAAAGAAACGCGAAACGAAGCCGCGCATGGGCGCTACGCACGGACGGCGGACGGGATTGTGCATAGCGTTGCACAAATACCTACAATCAGTAACATTCTGTATGATCGTTTGTTCTATCTTTTCTCATGCTATCTCTTCTTCCTCCATCCTTGTGAGAACTGTTTTTTTTCTGATTCTTCCAATTATGTTTACACTTTTGCCGGTTATATTTTGTTCATGGATATGATCATTATAGACATTTCGTGGATTCAGACCTTTTTGCTGCTCACATCATTAGACAATTGAGGTCATTCTATGGATTATGTTCACCTTGTGAGGATATTGTTACTTTGCTATCATGTTCCTAAGTTGATCTGTTATTTGTATTTTTTGTTTAGTCATGCTTATCGCTTATCCTCTCCTGTGAGCAGACCAGTGGTCGGTCCAGGAGCCCGTAAGCCCTCGGCTGGCGAAGGGGAATAGCTATATAATCCAGTCGCCCACTGGTCTGCTTTGGTGCTGAGCTCCTGTTATTCTCATTCTATTTTATTTTTTATTTGCCTTATCTCTGCTTTGCATCTATCCTGGTGTGTTGAATAATAATAATAATAATAACAAATCCGCTCAAACGAACGACTAGGTTGGCTCGCTCCCGCTCGCCAATTAGCTATACAGTAACCTTCGCTGCGCATGTGCGGCAAGAGTTAATTAATCATGTTCATGTAGCTATGTAGCTACTATATAGCGAGCTATACTGTTATGATTACATATACTTTGTGTATAGTTATGGATCCTGCCACACACCACAGTCAGAGCCACGAGCAGAGCCAGCAGAGTTAGACCAATCACTGCTCCCAGTGCACCCAACACTGGGACATACGTCGCTGAAGACTCCGGACTCTCCCTCTGGGCCTCGAAGGGCGACGGAGTGCTGCAGATGATAGTCTTGGAAATGGCTTTGTTGGAGATTACAACGGCCTCGCTCCAGCTTCCAGCTCCTCCCAGCTTGGTGTGGGCTCTCATCTGGAATAGATCAAGTATTATTGGCTCAAATACACCGCAAGAGCAAACGTGATGTGATGCTTTTGCAATGAAGTATTTCCTATCTGCATAACATGCTACACTTCAGCAACAATGAGAGGGTAAAGCAGCTTCTTGGCACAAGCTATATAATCTAGTTCACTACTGAGACAGGAAAGAAGTATATAATCATCCTTGCCAATGTGCGGTTGACAGGTGTAACTGGGTAAAACTATCTTAAACCTTTGGACTATCTGCTTAAATAAGCATTAGCACCTAGTATTATAACCCCCATATAAATTCTTATGGGCATTTATGTGTCCGTGGCTGGTTAAGTGTTAAGCTCATGTGTCAGTGCAGCTCTAGTTTACCTGAAAATAGATGTAGTCTGGACGAGGAAGCCTAGTCGTCCAGGCAAAGGATCTCTTCTCCTGTGCACAAAACCAAGCAAGCATCTAAACAATCACTCATTTGCCAAGGGTATCTCACTTTGTCTATATTCTGGCAAGTTGTATCATTTCCGTCCTTCACGTCACCCGGTCCCTGTTCAAAATTGGGGATTTTGCGGCCCCCTAGACAGGCAAGGTAGTGTGTGATTTGCCCATTCGGAGTTGTGGGGGGATTCCACTGAACCCGGAACTGGACCTCCATTGTCTCCTCGGAAAACTCCAGCTCTGACAGTCTCAAATCCAGCACTGGACTTGAGGAAGGTGGAACTGCTGGCGTAGTGCAATTGGCATCGAAAACTGAAGGTTGCTTGTAACTATCAGATGACAGCCATTGAATAGATACCTACATACATTGTACAGAAAGAGTAAAGGAACAGAGGATGAAGATAGTTCACAGGAAGATGGACCGTCAGCTGCTAAAGATGACACAATCACCGATAGCTATATTAAACATACTTTGTTCTCTAGACGAGTGTTCTACCCACCGAGCTATCAGGGCAGCTCAGCAGACTGGGGTAAGAGTATGCATTCCAAGGCTAAGGCAAACCCAAACTCTCTGCTATGGCACAGAAACCTGTCTTTAAACAGGTTAAGATTTTACCGTAAATTCATATGTTGTGTCTTGCTCCAGTGGTGGTAAATGAAACCACTTGTAGGACTACTCTGTCTGATTAGCTATCTTGTTCACATCGTTATTACATATGAATCGTTTGGCGATTCTGTCTTCAACGACCACAACAAAACCGCAGAAAATTTCATTTCCATAGGCCACAATTTTTTTTAAAACTCTTGCACAGTCCAATGGAAACTGAAGTCGAAGTCCAATCCATTCCAGTGGTAACACAGTCAGTGGTAACCATAGGTTTCTCCAAATGTGCCACTGAATAGATAAGAGAGATCGTTAAAGAACACAAATTGCCATAGGAATAATTCTGCATGGAATGAACAAGGATACACAAAGTAGCAGAGCTAGCTATACACAAAGTGCTCCGACATCCAGAGCAGCTCTTTTAAATGTTTTCTAGTAGTTTCTTTGGCCGTGTTGATAGGTGTACGTTCACAATGTCAACCTACACCGATGCATTAACACACCACTTGATAGAGTTTTTCGAACTTCTTCACATTCTGCAGAAGAATCTTCACCCCACATCCGCGTGCACACTTGAATCAGTAGATCGTACTGCAGGAAGAAGACGCCTGGGCCTGTCTCACTGTCAGTGAATTAGAGGTCTGCGAAGAAAAATCTCTTGATAAAATCTAACAGTCCACATAGGTGGGTTACAATTGGAGAAGAAGTGAATTGCTTGCCTCCATCTGTGACCCCACTTTTACGTGTAACTGTCACTATGTAGTAGTGAAACCCCTCCACATAGTCTAAAGATAAGAAATGAATCATTGAAACGTTATTAAAGAGCGATAGCTGAGTCAACCTTGTGGGTGAGTCCAGGAGATGGTGAGTACTGCATGTCCAAAGAAGCCAGGTCTCTTGTCCACCTCATCTTCCACCTGGATGTCTGTTGGTGCCGTTAGTTCAATCTCCCCTGACAATTAGAAAGATGGAATAATACAAAGTGAAACCTCCGAATAAAAAAAGGACACACAAAGGCAAATAGGTTCTGTAGTAGATCACCTCTGATTAATTAAGGCACTTTGAATAAACCTCCGAATAAAAAAAGGACACACAAAGGCAAATAGGTTCTGTAGTAGATCACCTCTGATTAATTAAGGCACTTTGAATGTCCCCAATGTGTCCCATATTCATAGGTTTTACTCTACATTATCTATACCTCCAGGGACGTTCAAAGTGAGAGGCTGTGACTCCCGAGAAACTCCAAACTTGTTAATCACCACAAATGAGACTACACACCTGTTAATGGTGTAGGGCTGGGGAGTAACAATGCCAACAGTGTGGGAGGGTGTCAGCAGTTTATTCTTTGAACTGTGTATATCTTCATACCTTCATCTAAGCTTAAAAAATACACTTCTGTGTAGCTATTATGCTAAGTAAAATAAATCTACACAGAACACACACACACTGCGAGGGTTGACTTGGTTTGTGTGTGTCTGTCGACACTTATTCTGGCACTACAGGCTACGAGGCGGCCTATTAGCGATACCAGCGGCTTCAGAACTACGCGAGCCTTATTAGGCGATTTTTTTTAAACGACTGTGTTCGAGAGCGAGAGACTGGCCCGGTCGCGGACAAAGTTGCGCGGCCCAACCTATCAATTAGCTGTGCGCATGCGTATATCCGCCTTCGAAATGGGCGCGGGTGACCAAGACTGCGACCCTGACCAGGCCCGCTCGCTCTGTGTATCTTTAAGGCACAATAAGCCACATGAAGGGCATGTATCGACTCCCGCACGCTATGAACTACTGTAGCTAGCCCATGCCAGACTCTCCGCGAGCTACTACAGAGCCGTAGCTAGAAAGTTAGAAGTGCAAGAAACGTCACCGCGCGCGTAAGTGCTCCCACTATGAGGGTCTGGGGGGCATGCTCCCCCAGACAAATTTTGAAATTCAGGATGTACGGAGAGCGTTTCTGGCGCAATCTAGCTGCTCATGAAAGTCACGTATTTTAGCACGTGGGGTCTGCTCACTACTCGAACTTGACTCGCTAGCAGTACTTTACTCACCTTGGGAAGAAGTCGGCAAGAAAAGATTGTCGTAGTCGTTACGGTGCTGGTTGTAACTCAGCCACTACTCATTCTGTAGCACAGCTGCAGTACGTACACCAGCGCTATGACCACACCCCTCTTTTGGTGCACGCGGCGGCAGCACTAAATCATAGGGGGGGGGCAATTTCCCCCTACCCCCCTACCCCCCGCTAGGTAGCGGGAGAAACGCATACTGATAGCCCAGCCCATCAATTAGCGGTATGGCGCATGCGCAGTTCGCCGAGGGTTTGCACTTTAGTGCTTTTTCATTATGCTGTGGATGATGACAAAAAACGCATCCACATATCAAACAGTCTCATAGACAACAGAGTCTTCAGCAGCAGCAGTGCTAGGCTGGAAGGAGCCAGTGCCCTCACGTGGAAAAGGAACTGCATCATAATCACCCTCTCTCCCATCTTGCCTGTATAATTATAACAACATTGTAGGCTTCAATGGTGGCTGTTTGTAATTTTTCTGCGTCTCTATAATATATCGATGAAAGATTAAAATGAAATGCAGTTTGGAAGGTGAGAGTCACTGGCATAACTATGGGAGAATCAGAAGCATACGCAGAACGATTGAAATATTTTAAGGGTGGCAACGTTGATTAGAGATCAATCTCACAATCATGGGCTTAGGTAGGCTCACTTCGCTCGCCAATTATAATATTATTATCTTCGGTTTCTCTTTTGGGATTTTGGGTTTTTAAAGTACTGCTTCATATTTAACGTTGGAAATGGCAGTGAGTTTCCCACTAGTTTTGGAAAACATGCTTGCGGCTAAAACTCTATGTCAATGACTCACCCAGTTTTCATTTTTGTGTTTCTGTTATTCTTTGCCAACACCACTACAATAACTGCCACACCAGCTGTTGTGGTCAGTATCACAGCAACTGGTATTACCACTGCACCGGAAATTGCTGCGGTATTACCACTTTCAAAGGAATGGAAGTTGATGCTAGAATTGAGTGACTCCAGCTCAGTGGCCATCTTACAATCACAGTTATAGGGAACTAAAATATAATTATGCACAAGGAGGTTATTTTGGTTCATTATAATCATAACATTATACCGGTGGAGAAAAGTATGGTAGTGCTGTCGGTGGTTCCAACTGCATTAGTGGCTCTGACAGTGAGTGTGTAGATAGTGGAGGGATCCAACTGGTGGATGGTGTAGGTAGTGCCAGACAGAGGGCCACTGGTGCTCTCAGTGCCTCTGTCAGTGGGTCTCCAGACGACCTCCCAACTGGCCACCCTCCAACTGGACACACTCCAGGAGAGGGAGATGGAGGTGGCTGTTATGGAGCTCACTGACACCAACACCTGCTCTGCAGTTGGAACAGGGGTGACACCATGCAGTCAGTTGGCAAAACTATAAGATTTGTGTCTTACTCAATATTATGACTTCATAACATGTGGCATTGCTCGATAGGCCTTGTTTAGTAGATACAATAGATATGATGTAGGTTTGTCCATTTTGAAGCCCAGTGAGTCTCCAACTGCTAGTATTACCTCCAACAACACTCTCGCTACTAATGTGACCGTCACTGTTTTCCAAGTTGATCTTATAGCCAGTGGAATCACTGGATCAATGGGTTCCAAAAAATGAAAAGCACTGAAGTGCAAACCCTCGGCGCATTGTGACGCGCACGCGTAAGTAAACGCATGCGCAGTACAACTAATTGATGGGCTGGGTTTAGTTTTACTGTTACTCGTGGTCTCTTGCCAGCTCGACAGAGTCTGACGCGGGCTAACTACACTACTAGATAGCATGCGAGAGGCGATACACGCCCTGCGCTGCATCCTCTGGTGCCTCCGAGGTACGCCGAGCACGCGGATCGATCAGACCGTGGTAAGCCATCCCGTCCGTTGCGTATTTGCATATTGGCTTTTTCGCGCTGTAGCTCTGCAACGGAGCAGAACCCCACATATTTTCTGATCTTCGTTTCCCGTTAAGCAGGTCGTATCCTTTGTGAGACGAACAGACGTTCGAGGGGTGAGATGTCGAGTAACAGACAGACAGCTCACACACTAAGCAAGTACAATGCGCATGCGCGTTTTACGTGGAGTAAAAATGGCCCTATAGCCAGCCGTACAATGGTGGAAGCGCTCTAGCTCTGCAACGGAGCGTTTTCAGAGAAAACCCTACATATTTTCTGACCTTCGTTGCCCGTTAAGCAGGTGGTATCGTTTGTGAGACGAACAGACATTCGAGAGGTGAGATGTAGAGTAACGGACAGACAGACAGACAGCAGACAGACAGACAGACAGACCCAACTACAGTACCCTCGCTGCGCATGCGCGCCGAGGGTAACTAGGATACTGCTAGGACCATCCTGGACTGCTGACACATCAGTGGGCGAGGCAACTACTCCGGGTTGTATTCTCGCGATATGCGTAGGTACGTACGTACGTACGTACGTGTGTGTCCGTCACGCTTAAGAATGTCAATTAGTCACGCTTAGGAATGTCAATTAGTCACCAAAAGGAAGTGTAACTTCCGTCATTCGTAGGAAGTGTAGCTTCCGCCATGCGCAAGGCAAAATATGCGCGTGCGCATTCCTAGTATACCTTTAATGTCATTGTACAGTCCTATAAAGACTGGTATATACATCTCTCACAAAGATGTCTCTATCATCATGGACAGCATTAGTTAAAATATAACAGCAATATATACCGGTTGGCGATGGACCATAGCCATAGTCTAGCCTACGACGTAGGTCAACTCTCCGATCGTTACGAACCTCATGGATGCCATAATAAAATGAAAAGCACTAAAGTGCAACACCCTCGGCGGCGAACACATGTGGGTTGGGCTATGTGTATGCATTAATCATAGCTTAGTCTAGCAATATTATTTGTCACAATCAGAGTGTGTGACTCTAGGCCAATGAACATGTTTAGAAGACCCAGACTGGCTTTATAAAGCAGGTCTGAAATGAGAATAAACAGTGAACATGTCCTAAAGCCTAGGAACACGATAATCGAAGAATGACCAAAAACCATCATCTCATCACAAGTACACAACACAACCATGATCACGCGGAAATAAGACAAATCATATATACAACAAAATTTGGTTCCAGGACTGAGAATATCACCATCAAGAACGAATGGCTCAAGTATCAGAAGTACCATTAAAAGTCGCGCGCGTGCTCTGAAGGGCTGAAGGAAAAAGGCTCTGTAAAACGCGTGCGAGGCTAGCCTTCATCTGCGCTAATCCAGACCTTTGCTAAGAGTTGGAATCCAGTTTACGGGTAGCTTTCGACCACGGGACAACGACGGATAAAGCCACACTGAGCTCAGTGTCTACGCATGCTCGATGCATACGCATGTGAATGCGCGCGCCAGTGCAGGTGCGTGCGGAGGGATCGTTATATCAGAGCGTCGGTAGACGCTCTATATAGGGATGACACGGGTGAAATCTCACGTGATCCGCGTAC